GGTGAGATGTAGAGGGTTGAGAAGGTAGACATTGTTCTTGATTTTTCTCTTTTAAGGCTATTTCTGCCTAAGATTCTAGGTGATTATAAGGTGATGGACAGAATCATTGAGTATAATAACAACCCTGTTTTTTCCTTGGCTAGAGAATATACATGCCTAGTATCTTGAGAATTGCCCTGGGATCTTAGGTATGTAGGGAGGCATCAGTATTTTCTGCAAAAAGCTTCTGACATTCAAAAGATAGCTCCTTCCCCATTGTTTGTATATCCTTAGGAAAACTGGAGAGACAGAGCCAGGATGGTCAACATGTCAGGACTGCAGTTGCTAAGGATCTAGCAGCAGTGTCGGCCCAGTCAAGAAATGCCTGTAGAGATGTCTTTGCTATGAACACTCCTTCTGATATGTTTGCTTTGTGCATCTCCTTGTTATCCTCTGATAACTGATAAATAAAAGCTCTCATTTTTTCAAATAAATTGTATTTATTTTTTCAAATAAATTGTAAAAAAAAAGTGTATTTTGCCAGTAGAGTGGCATAGTTCGTGATATGGAACTGCAAGGAGGTTGATGAGTATGATTTTCTGTCAGAGACGTCTAATCTCTTTGGGTATGTCTACACTACCCTCCTAATTCGAACTAGGAGGGTAATATAGGCATACCGCACTTGCAAATGAAGCCCGGGATTTGAATTTCCCGGGCTTCATTTGCATAAGCTGGGCGCCGCCATTTTTAAATCCCGGCTAGTTCGAACCCCGTGCTGCGCGGCTACACGCGACACGGAGTAGCTAGTTCGGAATAGGCTTCTAATCCGAACTAGCTGTACTCCTCGTGGAGTGGACCGTGACCTATGTCATTGGTACCTACATGTACCACGACCACCGGCTCCTCCCCAGCACTACACATAAGTCTGTCTAGATGCCTCGAGAGATCCGCAACCTTCGCATCAGGCAGGCAAGTGACCATACAGTTCTCCCGGTCATCACAAACCCAACTATCTATGTTTCTAACGATCAAATCACCCACTACTAACACCTGCCTCTTCCTAACTGGCGTTCCCTCCCCCTCAGAGGTATCCTCAGTGCGAGAGGATACCGCAACATCCTCTGGGAGGAGGGTCCCAACTACGGGATGGTTTCTCTCTGCTCCCATTGAATGCTCTGTTCCCTTGAGACTCTCATCCTCCTTAAGAGCACTGGGGCTCTCAGACTGGAGGTGGGACAGTACTACAGTGTCCCGGAAAGTCTCATCAACATAGCTCTCTACCTCCCTTAGCTACTCCAATTCAGCCACCCTGGCCTACAAAGCCCGAACTCGGTCTCTGAGGGTCAGGAGCTCTTTGCAATGGGTGCACACATACGCCACCCGCCCACAGGGCAGGTAATCATACATGTTACACTCGACGCAATAAACAGGATAGCCCCCACTCTGCTGCTGGGCTTCTGTCTCCATTTTTCTAATGAATAAGTTTAAGTATAAACTGGGATTCTTTTTAAACCTCTGGAGTATAAATTATTTTAAGAGTTATGTTTTAAAGAAGGTCAGAAGTCACTAGTGCCCTCTAAACTCCCTCTCCAAGCTCTCCTGTTAGCTGTTCCTGGTCGCTGAGTCACAGGCTTATATAGCTCTGGTAGCCCCTCCCCCTGACTGAGGCTCAGCCAATTAACAGAGGCTTCTAGATTTCAAACCTTTTAAAAGCTCCTTCAAACAAACAAAGCAAACAAACAAACAAACCTAACAGACAAACACAAGCTCAGCACACTGCAAATAACTCCCCCCCTCCCCCACACAAACACACACTCCAGACAGCCACTTACCACAAGGGTCCCGTTTTTACTCCTCTTTTACCTGGAGAACTCCCTCTCCAAACTCTCCTGTTAGTCTGATAGGAGTGCGACCAGGAACAGCTATCAGAGCAGCTTCTGGAAGGAGGAGAGACCTGACCTGCCTGCAATGAGAGAGGCTTTGGCCTAGCAAACCCAGGCTACTGAGGCAGACTTCGCTGTGAGAGACCACTTTTTTGAAGAAAAATCATTCTCTGGTGAGGACTGTTTTTTTTGTTTGATGTTTTTCTTAATTGGAGGGTTAAGAAGGTGGAAGACTGGGACCATGATCCAAGGTCACTCTGGGTAATTACTGAGGTGTCATGGTCTGAGACATAGGCTCAGAAGCTGGTCTTAGCTATTTCTCCGGGAAAAGTTTTAACAGGAGGTCCTGTGCTTTAAGTGACCTTGCTGAAACCTTCTTGCAATGTGGGCATTTTTGGGGAATATGAGTATCCCCAAGGCATCTGATGCACGGAGCATGGCTATCCGAAATGGTATGGAGAGCCTGCAAGTGGATGATCTTTTGAAACTCAGGGAACCTGGCATGATGGAGGCTCTGTTGTAAGTGGAAGGTATGGGGGAAGAGATTTTTTTTTAAATAATAGGTTAATGAAATAATAAGGGAATAACAAAGAGCCTGCAGTAAAAAAGTAAAGAAAAGATGAGATTAAAGGGGATGTCTTATCTGGAAAATGTGAAGCGAGGAGAGCTGCTGCATTCTCATCTAAGCCTAGGGTGGTAGAACAGGAATGGAGGGATGGTTGATGACCTGGGCTGATTACATGCTTGCAGAGTTGAGAGACAGAATCGTGCGCATGTTGCTATCTGGAGTACTGCTGCTGTAAGTCTCCAGCTATAAGCACAGGGTCCTGAAACACATTTAGTGGAACAGCCACAGGGACATACTTTGAAGAAGACTCACTGCATACTTTCCTTGAAACTCTGGTTAATGGTACAATGGTTTTATACTACCTCTGCAGAGCCACTGTTCAGCTGTTTGTAGCAGGCACAGAATGACACACTTGACGACATATGTGCAGCTATTCAAACACTGGCAACATAGATAACAAATGAATGAACTTGGAATGGATCTTCTAATTTTAAGGATGAAGAATCTGGGGTGGGAAGAATTTGGATGATATTTTTTCTGTGATTTGTTCTGTCTAATTTTTGTGGGTTTTTATTTCAATAAATATGAAAAGACAGCTACGGGGGGAGGAGGGGAGGACGGACGACTATATTTGCTTTATTTCATATTTGAAGTTTCTCTTCCACCATTATCTTTCTTCCTATCTTCCAAAGATTGTTTGTCATTCCTCCTCATCTTCACTGAAAGTGTGCAAATACACTAGTAAAACATGAATTTTAATGCATTCTTCAATTGCTTGTTTGTTTATATAATCTATACATTCTTCCATTGCTTGCTTGTGTAGTATGAACAAACAACACTGTCTGAAGAAATTTAACTGATGACTGTTATTCCAAACAGAGACTTAAATCTAAAAATTATTTCCTATCACTGGCAATGTTTGAAAAATAATTATAACAGCATATGGTTAATTCTGTTTTTCTTCATGTAAATCTAAATAAAAACCCAAGTATTTTCTAAGTATTTTGTGGGGAATTCTTTAGAAACGTAGATAATTCACAACAACAATATAGTTGCCCCAAATGGCTTCAAGCCTGACTTAGAAAATTCATCTATGACAATGAGAAATTCAGTTTGATTTTCATGCACATTCAGTTCTAATTCTCCTTGCAGAAACTACCAGAAAACTGGCAACGGAGGTGGCTTGTATAATATTCATACTGTAGCGGGTTCACTCACTTTCCACACGGCTTCTTCCCTCAGGGTGGCTTTGGGGAAGTAACCGGCTGCTCCGAAGCCGACATGCCCCCTTTGGGTGTGGTGTTCTCTTCAGGGCACTGCCCTCCAGCAGTGACCACTCTGGTCTTTGTCCGCGCCTCCTTCCAAGGAGTCATTGCTCTTCTTCTGCTCCTCCTCCAGGGTCCTCCCTACTCCCTAGTGCCCCTAGTTCTTCCCGGGAACACCCAGCTCTCTCCTGGAACACCAGCTCCCTCCTTGAACACACAATTCCTCAGCACCCTCCAGACCTCAGGGGCCCACTGCCAGTCCCTTCTAGTCCTGTCTCCGGGCGGACTGAAGTCTCTCCCGGCCACTCCTCCCTGGTCAAAGGCATGCCTCTGCCTGCCCAGTTGCCTCCTGCAACCCGCTTTGTGGTATTATGGCCTGGAGCTTCCCTGGCTCGAACTCCCCCAGCTTACCGCAGCTACCTCATTGCAGAACCATGGCTGCCTCCTTGCAGCCCAACCTTTTAGGGCTGCCTCCATGCGAGCCATGCCCTCTATGGCTGCCTCCTTGCAGCCCTGGGCCTTAGGCCGGGTAGCCTGGGTTTGCTAGGCCAAAGCCTCTCTCATTGCAGGCAGGTCAGGTCTCTCCTCCTCCCAGGAGCTGCTCTGATAGTCTTCAAGTGGGCCCTCCTTATTTGCCTATCCTGGGCTTCCCCCTGACTCCAGGTCTCAGCTCCTTAAAGGGCCAGTGCAGGGCAACACCCTGCCACAATACCTATACTTTTGTACATAGACTGAACTCACTAAATAGCTATCAAATAGCTATCAAATGGTTATAAGTTATGTGAAATGGTTATAACTTATGTGAATTATCTACATTATCCAAGTTCTAATAAAGCAATTGGCCTATAGACAAAAGACTTTATGCTGTATATGATGATAATGAATAGGAGTTCAATACAAGAGATGTACTCCTCAGAGTAGTAGGTCTTCTAAACATAGTTTCTAAAGAATCCTGGAAGTGTTCCCTCTAAGCTGTGCGGCAGCACAGTTTCACGTGTGATTAATCAGCCCTGCCCAGTCAGACTGCCAGGCAGCTTAGAGGGAACACTGATTCCTGGACATTCTAGAAGCATGGAATATATAATTATTTGATGCCTTTAGGTTGTTTCCCAACTTCTTCTTCTTCTGCATTTCCCACACAGAAAATTTTTTATGTGAACATCATATTAGCATTGTTTCAGTATGTGCTCTATTAGGTTTACAAATTAAAACAAACATTTCTATCTTGACTTCTGCTTGACTTGTGCAGACTTCACTAACATTTTAATTATGTTCACAGAAGCACATTTAAAGACATTTTCTTACCTTCTTTAGGGAAATAATTCCTTCCCATGTCTCTTCGTCAGTGGATATGGAAAATATTCCAGAGCCATCACCGTTTATGACTGTGTACTTCATGTCTGCATTAGAGCCAGCATCTGCATCATTTGCCTTGATTTTGCCTACTGCTGATCCAACTTGAGCTGATTCAGGAACATATAGCTCATAATGTTCTGGAAAAAATATGTGGACAATATTTCTAATCAAGCCTAAAATAGAATTTCAGAATACTCAATAGAGAAAATACCATTACCTCAGCTGACCATATTAAACTGCAAGCCCTATACATTTTGATCATAAAGAGCAAAGCCAGAATTATAAGTGGCATTCAGTGTTTGTACAAGGAGGTTCTGCTGGCCATTTAAGACACAATACTAGTTCAAGAGATAATTAAGTATAATACCTCTTGTTAGCAAACTTTGGAAAAATACATCTTGGTGAGAATGTTTTTGGTTTATATTATACCCCCAAAAATCAATTTATCAAAACACTGCACGTATCTTGGCTATGGGACATTGGACGTGATTTCTTCAGAGAGTAGAGCAGTTTTATTGGCAAGAATGACATAAACACAGTCTGTTACAGTCAGGTAAAAATCTATGTTATTACAAAAGTCCCAGTTTTTATACTTTAAACATTTGTTTCAATATAAGGTTTGCAGTCTCCAGCCAGTATAGCATGTGTATTTTGCCGTCGTAAAAGTAAAACTCTCTATGTTCATTTCCTACTTCATCTGGTGAAGGAAACAAATGTATGTATTCCAGAATAAAAGGGGAACAACATACAAAGCTTAGAATTGTTCTTTTCCTTCCCAACTCTTTTAATTGCAAGTATGGCTACCACTTATAACTTTATAAAATTTGTTTATATGTGAAGTGAATATGCATGCACTCCATTATCTAGATATAATGTAAAAATAAATAAAAAGCAAATAGGAAACAAAGAGGCCAGAGAAGCTGAAATTATGATAGCAAAATACACATGCAGCTGGGAGTTTTCAATATAATTGGGTTCATGTTGCATTGAGATATTTCCACTACTGTTATATTAGGAGATCAATATTTAGGCATGACAGAAATAAATTAATTTTTATATTATGTTTATGATTGACAGAATATAGCAATGGGTATTTTTAAACATTTTTATCCATTTAAATGTTCACAGTATTACATAATTATAGGTTTTAAGTATTTTATGAGATTTTTACCTATTTAAACTTTCACAGTTGCAGGAAATTATATGGAGCTCAAAAAATGTAGGGGATTAGAAAATAATTAGTTAGTGACAGTAAGGCTATATCTAGACTACAAGCCTCTTTTGAAAAGAGAGCGTTTAGACTGCAACCCCATCTTTTGAAAAAGCGAGCTGCTTTTTCAAAAGAGAGCACCCACGCAGTATGGATGCTCTCTTTCGAAAAAGCACAGTTTGTATTACATAGCACCTTTTTTCGAAAGAACACTTTCAAAAAAAGGCATTCTTCCTAGTAAAAAGTTTTCCGCGGTCAAAATACCTGCTGCTTTCTTTCGATTTACTTTCAAAAGAACACAGCAGCAGTCTAGATGAAGGGGAAGTTTTTTCAAAAAAAGGCCACTTTAAAAAAAAACCCAAAAAACCTGTAGTCTATACATGGAGGCTTCCTTTGTCGACCATGCTGCATCTAGACTGCTGCGCTGTGCCGGATGAGCTGATCGTCTGCACAGCGTGGTGGCCATTTTAATTTTAACAAAGCGGGGATTATTTAAATCCCTGCTTCTTTGACTATGCCGAATAAACTATTTTACATGGCTCCATTGACGGAGCCATGTAGTCTAGACGTAGCCTTACTGATCACCTCTTCAAAGTTCATTTCCAGGGCACCAGTCCAAACCTTCTTGGGTTAATAGAGGCAGTCATTACCAATTGAAGGCAAATAAGTGATATGTAAAACAATTTAGTAGTCTTTGCCAAATTACCCAAAGAAAAATATTCAGCTCACAAAATGCACACACTAAAATCAATTTCTTAGTACAGTAAACTTCCGATAATCTGGCACCTTTAGGACCCAGGGGGTGCTGGATTATCAGATATGCCGGACTATCAGAAGGGGGGGCTATGAGGGGTCTGGAGTGGGGTGGGAGGGGATGCCTCCCCAGACCCCCCATAGCCCCCTCTTACAATAGTCCGGCTCTGCCCCAGGTGTCCCTGATTCAGCCGCTGCTGGTCAGTTTCAGCAGCAGCCGAATCAGGACGCCTGGGGTTCTTAAGTTGAATCTGTATGTAAGTTGGAACTGGCGTCCAGATTCAGCCTGTTGAAACTGATCAGAGGCTGATTCCAGGAAGCCCGGGGCAGAGCAACTCAGCCTCGGGCCTCCTGTAGTCAGC